GAATCAGCTCTTCGAGAAGAATCTAAAAACGTAATGAAATACAGGGTGTTCTATTTGAAATAACAAAGATGATGCTACTTTTTGGTAAAAGTGGCAACGCTGCATCGCTGAAAATATTTTGAATCGCTAGATCACAAACGCTTATTAGAGTAACCAAATTTTCAGGATAATCCAATGTACCGTTTTCCGTATACGTCTAAGGTACCATCTACCGTGGGCCACCCTGTATACATTTTCATGATATTCAATACAGAATCAAGAAAAATACAACATTTGATTCGTTTCGTAAGGTACATAGATACTATTGTATTGAATATCGATAAAACATTTTTTTATGTTGTCATGTCATCAAAATTCAGTGAATAATTAGGCAGTTAACTGATTTTCCCGAAAATATCCAGTGACGTTTTACTCATTTCTAGAAAAAGGATATGTAACCCCTGTATCGGCGCCCAAGCATTTCTGTAACTATTGTTTGATTTATATTTGCGTTAGGGTGCATTTTTGGAGGTATGTTGATCAAGAAGAGTTTCTATTACCTGCCTAAATCAATGTACAAGAATCTAGACCACCCTATATACTTGTCACAGAAATATTTTGATTTTTAATGAAGATTTCCTCTTATTGTTATTTTTCATTTCAACACACTTCAAATTCAAAATAACTTCAAAATAACTTGCATTCTGAGACAAATGTGGAGGATCAGTATTTCGCTGGAATATCGACATTCAATCAGTATACAGAGTGATTCAATTTGATTCTGGAGAAATTTAGTGTGATATGAAATCACCTTTCCAACAATACAGGGATCTCACGATACACTATATTTATATATCGAGAATCAGTCGTAATAAATTTTGAAAAATGTGCATGCTTATATTTTGAGATTTCGCTCTCTTCGTTTAAAATATTTTCGACAATGCTGTGTTGCCCTTTCAGCTAGAAATTTGAAACAACTTTGTTATTTCGAAAGGTATACCCTGTATTTCATTGCATTTTTTGATCCTTCCTGAAGAGCTGATTTCATTAATAGTTATTACACTTGGGGTCTGTTCAGAATCACGATTTCTCATCTTTTTCCCTATTTTAAATTCTGGAACAAATACAGGGTGGTTCAAGATTCAGAATTCTGATCACCCTTTATCTGTTCCAATTAAATGTCAGTTTTGACCAATAAAGAATTGTTTAGACACGAGTTGAAAAATCTCGATTTTGATTTGATTTGATTCGATTTTTGAGCACCCTATACCGATATTTTTCAACTTTATGATTTTTGTGTCGATACTATTAATCATCCGTCAAAACGGCTTTCATGTCCCCATCAACTATTGATTCACTATCTTCTGACATTTAATTGAAACAAATACAGGGTGGTTCAAGATTCAGAATTCTCACCGTGTATTTGTTCCAATTAAATATCAGTAGATAGTAAATCAAAAGACATGAAAGCCGTTTTGACTGATGATGATTAGTTTTGACACAAAAAAATCCTTAAATTAAAAAATCCCGATTCTGAATATGCACCCTATATCTCTCTAATCTTTCTCGCTAGACCCTGAGTGTGATATATTGATGAAATCAACCGTTCAGGAATGATATAAAAATTCAATGATATACAGGGTATTCTATTTGAAATAACAAAGTTGTTGCTACTTTCTAGCAGAAGCAGCAACACCGTCGAAAATATTTTAAACGAAAAGAGCGTAATTTCAAAAATGAGCAAGCACTTTTTCATGAATTTTTTGCGACTGATTCTGGATGTGAAAATAGTGTAATCTCGTCGTGACATAACCTGTATTAGCATCCCCCTGTGTACCACTCCCATCAAAATAACAAGCAAGAAACAATTGAATTTGAGGGACTAGGGTGTCATTTAGGAAGAAGTGATCCCCCCCCCCGATTTTGTGCAAAAATTAGTATCATTTATCAATGAGTGATGAAATGTCGCACAACTTTTTTTGTAACAAAATGAATGTCGAGTTGTGCTGAAAATAAATAAAATGGGACGAATACTACTACTAATACTACACTGTCTGTGTCAAGACATTTCTCGTCCGAATCATCTTGCCGGAGTTCTAAATATACTACCCGTTTGCGAAATGAAGACCAAACATAAATAGAAAACCATCACTGAACGCGCAAGACCAGCGATAGGGGTTTCCAATATTCAATATAAATATACGACGGCGGCGTATCAGCGCCACAATTATTTTATTTCATCAGAATCTCAAAATTATCAGATTTATTATCGGAATTTTGAGATTTCCTCTCAAAATTTCGAGATTTTTTTCTAAAAAATTTGATATAATCCTCAAAATTTCGAGATTTGTTCTCATAGTTTTGAGATTTATTCTCAGAATTTTGAGATATTTTTCCTCAAAATTTGGAGATTTTTTTAAAATTCTGAATTTATTCTCAAAATTTTAGGTTCTCTTCTAAGAATTTCAAGATTTTTCTTCAAAATTCTGAGATTGTTTCTCAATATTTCGAGATTTTTTTTCTCTACGAAGATCTTGCTTATTAAGCGGCACACTGAAATTGCTCAGTATCATCTTTTTGAATATACAGCGTATCCAGTTTTCGATGCTTCTGCGCGATATCTCAGTTATCTTTAGAGATAGAGTTTTTTCCTTTTTTCTATCTCTCGGAGCGCACGAAAGGAAATTCCAATAATGTTCAAAGAACATCGTGCGTTCCTAGGGAGGATAGGGACAGGAGGTAGGTATTGGATTTTTTTTTTGAATTACTGGAGATTGTATGTTGTTGGGAATACTTCCTCAGGCAATGAATTCCATAGCCTAGCCGTTCTATGGATGAAGGAGTTTTGATAAAGTGCTGTTCGACATCTTTCGAGTGTTGCGGTTTTCACATTACTTCCCCAATTTCTTGTGAAACGAATGATGGTTATACATCTCAACTTATCGGTAGGATGAGAACTGAACCTTATATAACTTTCTACGTAGTAGTGGCGTACTAATTTTATTTCTGTAATCGCTCAGAAAATTGAGCAAAAAAATGTTTTTCTCGATGAAAAAAAATTCAACTGTTACATATATTTGAAGAGCTATATGAAATCTGAATCCAACTGGATGGAACTATACAGGGTATCCCATTTGAAAAAAAATTACCTTCATTTTTCTAATAATGAGCGATTACAGAAAAAACAGAGTACGCCACTGTATTGAACGTAGAAAGTGATATAAGGCCGTGTTCTCATCCTGTCCATAAGTTGAAAAGTATCCAAGATACGGGAGGTGCTCAAAAAATGAGAAGTTTCAACTCCACCCTGTATCTCAAATACTTGAGGGACTGCAAAGAAGTCTGGCGGTAATGTGAGAACATTACACTCTATCTCGAAAGATATCCGAGATATCACGCAAAATCATCGAAAACTGGACACCCTGTACATAATATATGCTCCTTATCGTTTGAAGTGAATACGATTCAATATTGCTTTCGTAAAGTACTGAAGAAATCCATGTTCAGTCAAACTCATATGAGTAAATTATACAGGGTGTTATTTAAGTACGTGGCCAAACTTGAAGGGGTGATTCTTTGAGTGATTCTAAGACGAAAATGTCCTATAAACATAGGTCCGGTAATGCTTCGTTTTCAAGATACAGGGTGTCAAAATTTTTAAAAGAAATCGTTTTTTTTTCGTAAATATCTTAATAAACCTTCAACCGATTTTATTGAAATTTGGCAGTGTTATTCAAGGTCGTAAAGGGCTAATTCAACCCTAACTATATCAAAATTATCATGTCCAGTGGCGTCCCGGAAGGCACAGTAACCAATATTTTTGACAGAAAAAATGTGCGCCACTGATTTTTTTGCAATTTTTGTATTTGTTTCACATTGAGCAACTAAAATTACAACTTTTTTATATCTAGAATATTTTTCGTATCTTGCTTTGTTTTTGAGAAAAAACATAAAAATCACTTCATTGCACATCCCTGTGACGAGCCGAAGCCAAGAGCCGAAGGCAAGTGCTGCAATTCATACATACATATTTTTTGTTTTTTCATTGCATTAATTTTGATATAAAATCTCAAGACTAGAATAGAGTATTAATATGAAAAAATATTAGTAAGACCCCAGTTTTTGATGGTTTAGTAGTTGAAATGTTTTATTGTGTTGTCACAGGGATGTGCAATGAAGTGATTTTTATGTTTTTTCTCAAAAACAAAGCAAGATACGAAAAAAATTCTAGATATAATCAAGTTGTAATTTTAGTTGCTCAATGTGAAACAAATACAAAAATTGCAAAAAAATCAGTGGCGCACATTTTTTCTGTCAAAAATATTGGTTTCAGTGCCTTCCGGGACGCCACTGGACATGATAATTTTGATATAGTTAAGGTTAAATTAGCCCTTTACGACCTTGAATAACACTGCCAAATTTCAATAAAATCGGTTGAAGGGTTATTAGGATATTTACGAAAAAAACGATTTCTTTTAAAAATTTTGACACCCTGTATCTTGAAAACGAAGCATTACCGGACCTATGTTTATATGAACTTTTCGTCTTAGAATCACTCAAAGAATCACCCCTTCAAGTTTGGCCACGTACTTAAATTACACCCTGTATATACAGGGTGATCCACGTTTCAGTTATGACGTGTACGACAGTTTTTTCGAATGGGACACCCTATGTTATATCGAATCCTTTTGAATAGGGTTTGCATATGGGCACTTATACTTATACAGTACGTCCGTTTTTGTTAAATGGGGTTGCCATTGAAAAATACCGATTAATTCATTTCTCCTACAAGAATCATTCTTAATGTATAAATTGAATCCGAAAGAATGTCCAAATGAAAATAGAATTCGATGTTCAGCGTTATTTCCAAACATTATTCCTTCAACTTTTCTTCAGCATTTGATCACAATTCGAACCAAGGAAAACATATCTCTTTCATTAGTATTCTCCATTATATCAGAATGAACTATATACTTTCGGACAGTACAACAAAAAAATCTCAAAATGTTGTGAATAAATATAAAAATTTTGAGATTTTGGTGAACAAAATAAATAGAAGCATTGTGGCGTTAATACGGTAATAGTTCTACCTACTTAAGCCTTATAAATTTCAGTCTCACCATTAGGTATAAAAATATCGTTTTCTCGTTCTCTAAAGCTACAGGGCGCGCATCGAATAACACATTACAAACGCAATACTATCGATTCGACCGATCCGAGATATCCACCGTACACCCTGTAAAGTAATTGAATCTGTTGAGAAGCGGATTCGGATTCAGACGAATCTGCACAGGGCCGTGTAAAAATCCTGCAAGTAAGCCAAGAGCTGATTCGGCTGAGGCCTCTCAGTAGGACAGTTCATCCAACAGTATGTCATTACTGCAAACCTGAAACGAAGTACGCCTGTGTTGTTAATTGTTTCAAGGCTGAATCAAGAAAGTAAACGATTATGAATAGATTAGAACGAGCGTATCAATGGGGAATGGATGATCATCTTATCCAATGCACGTATCCATTACCATTATCCACCATCAGAGAGTAAAAGACCGAAAGTCATATCCATAAAACTTTGAAAAAATCTATAAGGATTATGATGCAGGGATAGGCCAATTTAGGGCGCGAGAGCTAAATCAACTGAACAAAATAAACTTACTTAGGTTAACACCGATGTTGTGGTCGAAAAAGAAATAATATTATTGAAAGCTATACAGTGTCATTCATAAAATCGGCATCATATGGGAAAAACTTTTATTAATGACTTATTTTGAAATTCGAGTTGGACGTTAATTTTTGCTTCAAAAAAGATGAAAAATGGCCTACTCAATCGGGGTCACGTGACATTCGCTACGTGTCAAAGGTGACATTTTTTAAAATTAATCGCTGAAAGTAGACTTATTTGTTCGAATATCGAAAAAGTTAACTTGAAAAAGCTGTTTCTATTTCAATTTTACACATGCTTCTCGAATTTGATCTTTCTATTGCAACTTTTAGATTTAGATTTTTTTTTAATTTTTCGAAATTTCTGTAATATTTGAAGAATTGTTAATTCCACGAAACTACTTCATACCAGTAGCTTTTTCATGCTATACTTACTTCCAATTACTTATCATCACTGATTATGGACAGAAACATGATTTTCTTCAGAAAATGATAATACCCGCTTCCAAATTCTGTTAAGTATGTTTGATGCAAAGTTGATATATCGTCAAGTATTTAGAAACGAAATTCATTTAAACTGATCTTTTCAGTACTGAAAAAATAAATTTGAATGAATTTCGTTCCTAAATGTTTGCATCAAACACAACAGAATTTTGAAGCGGAGATTATCATTTTCTGAAGAAAATCATATTTTTGTCGATAATAATTGGTGATAATTAGTAATTGAAAGTTAGTAGCATGATGAAACTACTGTGGTGGTACATTGATTTTGCTTAATTATCTGGGATTTTCTCTCCTCATTTCTATGAAATAAAAATATGAGTATAATTTCAATTTCAAATACGTCTAGTGGGGCAAATCAGATGATGTGCCCCAAAATGTCGAAGCGCTTGAAATTTCTTCATAAGGGAACCTAAAAGAAAAATCCAATCGTTGATCAGTGACACTTTGTTTTGATAAATGTTTGAAGTAAAGAAATATAGATATACTGAAAAAATATGGAATTTTTACTAATCTAGTTATCTACTCCCGTTTTCAACATGAAAAATGTAATAGCTATTTTTATATCATGGGAGCAAAGGTACCGGATCCAGTGGGTCAGAATATTTTTTGTGCCGTAATCACTTTATTTGTATCTGTTTTAAGTAAAAGTCATGAAACAAAATGTGTTTTTTTCGTGTGGAAAATACCGTGTCCACCTATGGTACACAAGGCTCAGCATTGCGATATTTTAACTAATGCCTAGTCACTGGCAATGTTTCCACAAAAAAAAACTGAAAAAAAATAATAACGGACGTTTTCATTTAGTTACTTCTATACCTGTGTCCAAATATGTGTTCAAACGGTCTATCTGTCGAGTCTCGGTCCAAAGCAATGTATTAAATGATCTAAGGTTACAGACAGTATTTGAATCTAATTTAACACTGACACTCCTGTCGCATTGAATTTGTTTATTGTGTAATTGTATTTCATTCAAAGTTTTGACTGAATATTCGAATTTTCAGTGAAATTATAGTGAAACAAATTTAGATACGTAGTGATACATACTATATCTGGAAACATACAAAATTTTCGCCCTCTGGTTAACGAAAAGTGAGAAAGATATTATACGCGGTACGCTACTGCGTGATATAAATATCAAAACCTTACATAATTCCATCGAATATACACATTTCTCGAAGCCGAGTCGCGCACTTTGTTTGTATACTTATTAAATAATACTAGGTATTATGTGAGAATGAAAACGAAAGTGGTCATGTCGAAAAAGAAAGTGAAACATTTTAACGTCCAGGTCTTCATCTGATTAAAGCATATTCTGGTCACAATACCGCTGGAGATATATAGACTTTCTCCCAAAATTCAGGTATTATCACGCAAACGTCATACTGACATGATTCAGAAAAAGAGTGGAACAAATAAGAAATTAATTAATTCAAAATTTCATCTGCTTGCTTACGTTTTTGTGACGTTGGATTTCATGTTATTTCAATGTCCTTGTTCGCGTTATTATATCATCATCTAAATAAAACTCCTTACATGAGAATGACATTGAATATAGTGATCATAATAAATGTTAATTTCGAGTCACATACACATAATTTCTTCGAGCAGCCGATATACTATAACGTTATCATGAAGTAATAAAAGAATGTATTTCCTGATACCTGAATCACATATTTAATATAGCGGTATCAAAACAAAAAGGCAGATTTAAATAATGATGCTTACCAACTTGATCATCGTGATGATCATTGGGAGATCATCACAATGATTATTCAACGCAATACTAACGTTTCATTTGATGTTAATCGAATGTTCTTTCGATCTCTATCGAACATACCATGATGACTTTATATACTTACAATTGATCCGGACAACCTACAGGTTGACCAAGGCGGAGTCCGTTTCGGAGGAATGTGCTCATTTCGAAAGGATCCACATCAGAGAATGGTTGTTGTGCCAAAGTGGTCAACTCCCAAAGGACCACGCCGAAAGACCACTGGAAAAACATTCACTATAAGTATATCATCGGTTTCATATCCCAACCTACTCTACACAAATTTTCCCTGATGATGCATGTTCTAACTTGCTCCGTTTTTGAGATACAGGATGTTGAAGTTGGAAGTATTAATTGTTTTCATTAATAACCCCCCTGTATAAGCTTTCATGGTGCCAAAATTCAGTATGGATGGAGACTGAGAAACACCAAAAATTTCAAAATGATTTTAACTGGGTTATTGAGTAATCTCAGTATGAAAATGACATTCACCATAAATATCGATGAATTTGCCCACTGTGATGCAACTGGAAATATTATTTCGAATCTGATTGCACTAGAAGAAGCTCCATATTACTAATAACGAAACCACAACGTTTTATTGAAATTGATGAAAAAACAATTGAGAAATGGATAGAAACAATATTTTTCATGGAAATAATGATACCCTGTATCTCGAAAACGAAGCAAGTGAGGACACATGTTTATATGAACTTCATTTCCTAAAATATCACCAGGAATCACCCCTTGAATTTTTTCGGTGTTATTCAGAGACAACCTCTATAATGAGTGAATATTTAGAGACTGTGACTCAATATTCAAATGAAAAAAAAACACGTGAATATACTACAGAAGTACCTATACAAGGTGTTTCATAATATGAGGGACATACTTCAAGAGGAAAAATAGGGCGTCTCAAAAAAATGAAGTACCCATGAACATAGTTCGTAGAAGGCCTATAACAAATAATTACTAGATAACCGCTCAACAAAAAATCTCGATATTCTGGTGAATCACTTATTAGTACCTGATAGTGATTGAATCGGTAGCATTATTCAGTCCATCTGACTCCCAGTGGCACCCCGTTAAGGGGTATTGATATGAGATTTTTCAGAAAAAACATGGCGATGAAACTTTTCGAATTTTCATTCGAAAATATATGAAAGAAGATGCGTAGATAAAAGCACTGACAGTAGAAACTTGTTTAGATACACAGTTTTCGATTACTCTATAACCATGATAGATATTATTTTTGAATTGCGGCACTTTGCCAGTCACATAACAGACTAAATTTTGCCCCCACCACGATAAATAAGCTACAGGGTGAACATATGAATATTCTATGAATATTTGCAACTTTAACGCCCTGTATCTCGCGAACAAAGCCTTTTACGACCATTGTTTATGAGATGTTTTTTCATTTTCTTGAGACGTTCTATCACCTCTCGGAGTGCTTTCCACATATTATGAAACACCCTGTATTATTCGACTTCATTGTCAATTTCAGTAGCCCTGGAAATCAGGAATGATTATAGCTGACTGCCTTGATTTCTTCTACGGAAAATTACCATCGAGATATAGATAATTTTCTTCAGTTTCCACATGTACGGAGAATGGCACCTCAGTTACCAGAACACGTATTTATTCTGCCGGTTGAATAGTATTTAGTACCAATCTACGTTCTTACAATGAGTTGTGTGAATTGTCAAGAAAATTATTCTTTTCTTTGTCATCCTATAGAAAATATATGCAACAATTTAACAGGTCGATTTTAGAATTTTCTTCAGTGAACCTCAGTTAAAAACTCCATATTATCACTGTTAGCAATGCCATTAGTGACTCTGTATATCTATAATAATATTATAAAGAGGAAAGATTTGTTTGTTTGTTATATGTGTGAGAATATAATGGTAGCTATTGGTAACCACAAAAAAATTTAAAAAATCACAAAAAAATATGTACTGTAGATACGTGCATAGCTCAGAACGACTGAAACAAATGTCTAATTTTTCTAAACACGGCCAACTTTTTTGTGAAGGCGTCGATTGTACACTTACTATTCTGACGAGTTTATTTCACCTTAGCACGTTCGACCAAATTATTGTATAGTTAATGCAACATTTCAAGTAAAAGTGACATTTCACAATAAAGGACATTGTTACAAAAAGTCTTGGGAAAGGTATTGTTATTGTCAATGTGTGATTAGTCTCAATATACAGATTCAATTTTAATGTTTCATCGAGACAAAAAGATCCTGCCTTTTTTCTAGGAATCACCTTGTGAGAAATGAATTACACACTATATATTATTAAATGCAAATGAGGTAGTTAGGAGGCAAAATTGGGTGACTTTTCAATGATAATACGTTAGTTAGAAGGTGCTTTTACTTAGCACTAAAGAAAATTTCAAGGTAACGCGCGTTGTGTCGAGAATAGAAGGTTTCACATTTCAGCTGTGGCCAGTAGCGGAACTAAAAGCAAATATTGAGAACATATCTAGTAAAATATTTTTCCAACCCAACGGAAAAGAGAAATTGAAAAATGACGGAGAAATGAGAATTATTGATCGAATTGGGGAGAACTCTTATCATCTTAAACAAATCACTGGATAAAATGACACCCTGTAAATAACACATCGGGCTAATATTGATTTCAAATAATTATTTATTTTGATGAAACCACTGAATGCTTAATAAAATAGGTACCTACCGCTTCAAAACTTTTGCTGCCTTCAAATTTGTTGTTTCTTTATATCACATGATAATAAACATATTTTATGATGAACTCGCTATTCGAATGTAAAGAATTAATCGATTAGCAAATGGTATATATCGTGGTATATTTCGATTCTACCAAATGATGTACAAGTTCAATTGAATCTTCACGTCCAGTTTGAACGAAAACTGAATGTCCAATCGGATATTCATTGTACTAGTGATAAATAGACATCCTTTGGATGTCTATTCAGTGTCCATGTCCATATGGACCAAGCGTGTATATCATATGGATGTACATAGGATATCCTGTGTTTACTGATATATGATACTGAATATTTCACAAGCGAACAAAGTTATACATTTAAATGAAGGACTGAAGAAAAATATGGGAGATATTTAAAATATCAAAGTCAAGGTTGGTTTCTACGTTCCTAGTATAGGTACACTGTATCATGGTTTATTTGTTTTCACTGTTTCGAAAAGCTCTTCATACCATTATATGCCAGAAGTAATCGAACATTTTTCGTCTATACAATTACTTCTAAAGCTTCTGGCACGGCATAACACTCTTCCACCAGCACAACCCAAGTGTTTTCTCATCACTGGCAGATATTATGGCAGCAGTACTTTCATGTCATCGACTACTTCAACGAGCTAATGAATCGCCACCGAGCATCATGATGATGTTTGTTAAGATGAGATGTGCTTTGGTCTAGAAAAAAACCATGCCCGCCACTGGATGTATTATGTATTGTTCGTTGAATTCTTCAATAATAGTGATGCGGCTGGCATCAAAATGATATCACATAGTCACGCTTTTGCCACAGTTGAGATATTCTCTCAACTGTGCTTTTGCCCATCGGGCCTAAGCAAATGTGGCAAGCAACACTTTTTTTGTTTTTTTTTTAGGACATAGGTGCATTTTTATTTGGCAGCAAGTTTAACTGTACCATAAATAGTTATGAAATTGCGTGAAATTGTTGGTCCAATAAAAAAATAAGTTTATTTACAAATTCATTTCAAATATTCCAATTCAAATACATTCCCTTTGAGTAGGTATACTGCCCGTCCTAAGCACAACTCCCGTATCTACAAAAAAGCTAAAATGGAGTAAACGCATTGAACAGTGGAATTTGATTGCTGTCGTTCACTTGAGTATCATTTTGGGTCGGATCAGTGTTTTTGTATGTCAAAAACGTTCTGAAATCGATTATACCGGATAACAATTCAAAAAATTACGTTTTTCAATATGAAAAAGCAGATGCGATGTTTTTGCTGAGACATACATATTTCGCATACTGTAAGAAATTGAAACCATGTTGATAAGCGAAAACCACGTATCTGCAAGCGCCACATCGTCGACGAAACCACAAAACCAAGTAACTGCAAAAACCAAAATTCTCAGGAGACACTAAAAACTTTATAATTTCGGGTTAACTGATCAGATTCAATGAAAAATAGTAACAAACCACCTGATTATTTTTATCCTTACGTTTGTACATTGATCGTTAAAAAAAGTCATTGCTTACGTTTGTCAGCGTAAGATACTTGGTTTTGACATCTGCTTCTGTGCGAAAGCAACAACAATTATTCAGAAAAGTAATTCGCGAAAACATACGTAACTTCATTTTTCTGAACTTTCCGCTTAACAAATAATTCTTGAGATAAATTCTCACATCTTGTGTTGGAATACCAATTGAAGTTGAGAACATATCTGTTCTATAAAAAGTCACTCACCAATTATAGCAGAGAATGATCTCTGTGAAAAGAAATTGAACACAATATCAGAGGCGTGAATCACGTTGCCAACTGTTAGATACTTGTTTTTGACTACCCCTTTTATTTTGTTTTTCAGATAAGGGGTTTTGTATTTATGGATTTTAAAATATTTACAATTTTTTACCAGTTGTGAGGTTTTGCATACCAATATGATAGACCGATTGCCGCCAGAATCCCATTTTCGAATCATTGTCAGTTACTTGGTTTTGCGGTTTCGTCGACAATATGCAGATACGGTGTTCTCGTTTAGTACTGTGTAGATAAGTGGTTTTTGCTCAACAGGAGTGCCTTATTTGGCTAGATATGGGGAATTGAAATGGCCAAAATTACTGATTTACAATATAAATACCGGGTTTTCGCTTATTAAGGATCAAGTATTAGTTGCCAAGCAACCAATGCGCCAAAAATCTGAATGTCCGTGAATTTGTTGGTCATGGGGGTTTTGCCTTAGAACGGCAGTATAGGTACCTACCATAAGAGGTTGATGCTCTGAACAAAAACTCACTCATCACTCATTTTCAAAAATGGAAATCGGCACCTTCAAAGGAAACCAATGGTGACTATCGACGATCATAGAAATTCCAAGATAAATTAAACTGAATATTTTGTAGAATTCACAACAATAAATGGTTGTTAGAATTCTAATCGGACGAAACATCAAGGAGGCCCTATACATACTCACTCAACATCAAATGTCAGATATTAAAAAGGTTGATAGTGTTTTTGT